TAAACACAACGCTTATATGCTTACAAAAATTACACAAAATACTCTTGTTGGCAGCTGCACTTCACAGCTAACCGACTTGTTTGTCATGTCACAAATATTAGCAAGAAGATGATTTTAGACTTTAAACCGGCACGTGCTGTTCACTTATGACTTTGTTACATCAGCATTGCCCTCTATATCTCATAGTTGCTTCATACAGTTTCGCTCCTAATACAGATAATGGCATGATAAAGTCATTAAGACCCCTGGTGGCAGTCCTTATTGTAAAATTTTATAATTGCATTCCTGCTTCTTTTACGCTATTTGTCGCCCTTATTGTAGATAAAAACAAAATGAAAATCTCTACAATAATGGTGGCAATCACACAGATAAGCCCCCAGCGGTATGTCTGCGGACTTATAACACTAGAAACCTGGTTTCGATACCCGTGGTGGGCAGAGTACAGATAGCCTATTGTGTAGTTTTGTGGGTAACTTCAAACACACAGCTAAATGTTTAGTAACTACATTTTTTTAAAATATCAAAACCCAGTTTATGATTCATATGAGACAGAGTGCAAACATATGCATATAAATATGTTCTTAATTAATTATTTTACGTTTTAAACAAATCTACCGTTCTCATCTACGTGAATGTTCGAGAATAATAATTTGAAAAGTTAGATAGTTATTAGTTATGTTTCCGCATATAAAAGCTATCTTCAAGAATAATAATTGTAATTTTAGAACTTATATTTGATTGAAAGATGGAAGAAAGGCCTTAATCCATTGTGCAAGGCGTGACTCAGTGGTTAGCGTGTCAAACTCTAAAGTCAAGGGTCCCAGACTCGTATCTCACTGCTGCAAAAGGACGCTTTATACTTTAGGGCATTGAGTGCGGTATAAGGGTGACCATCAAATCCCACTATCCGCTTACAGTCGTTGCATTTCCTCTAGTCTCTCAGTTCAAATTTATGAACGGCTAGCGCAGATAGTTCTAACTAGGCTTTGCTCAAATATCCGAAACAAACAAACCTAAGGCCTTACTAACATGTTATCTTAACTGTACAGCAGATAAACTTATATTAGAAAATTGCCAAAGTTTTAAATATAGAGGTATAATTAATTAATAAGGATGTGTATGATTAATTCATTTCAAAATATAGTAAATAATACAAATATATTGTAAATGTTTGCTTGTTTTTGTGATTTAAAAAAGATATCAATGACGAGTATGAACCTGTCTGTGGAGGAGACATACCTGATATGGAAATTTCAACGAAATTATTTCAAACCTTTCATGTAAAAATTGTTCTAACTTCTCTAGAACACAACCAACAGGCCTACTTTTGCATACCCAGTACACTATTTATTTGGTTTACTGTTGTTCGTTTATGAGCTAAGAACATAGTTTTGAATAACTTGTTTTATAATTATGTGGTATAGGATAAGCATGATACATCTACACCGGATGGTACATAGCGGAAATGTTCTTGAAGCAGCTTGAAAATGTGAAACTGCAAAGTAGTAGCTGAATTAAATGTTTTCTGCTTCAGAAGATCCACGTAACGTTTGTTTTTAACATAACTGGACATAAATGTAAATTCGTTGATGAACTATACGTGTTAATTGTAAATTTTGATTTTTACCAGAAACATCATCAGTAACTCGAGGATACTAGATTTCAACATTTGTCTCGAATGGTGTATTTTTTAATTACATTAAAGTTCGTTGATCTGAGGACGTGTCCTATTTTTCACACATATTTTACGCACATGTGTATGTGTGAACGTATGTATAATTTTAATCTTAAAAAAAGGACCTAGAGAAATAATGAACATTATAAAGTGGGAAACTTTATACGAGGGGAACAGACCAGGGTCAATTCCAGAATTCGCATCTTTCACTCGACCCTGGCCAGTTAGAAAACACGTGGGCTGACTTGAATAGCAAAAAATGACCTAATCGACCCTGTTAAGTATTTTTCCTATTTATCTTATCATAAAACGTATATTTCTATACTTTTCCTAAAACCCATAGCTGTGTAACGTCTCGTGTTACTCTAGCTTCCTGGGGATCCTATGATAATTTTTTAAACGTTATGGGAAATCTCTATGACTTCTCAAATGATAAAAAAAGGTCCTGGGACATGTGATTGGCGGGATCAATCCAAAGGAAGTGTGATAAATATTAACATCTCAATGGAGAAATATCTTACGTTTTGGTCAGTAATAAAACAGTAATCTCAAGAGACATTTCCTTTTGTGTTTATCTGGATTGATATAAAGATTATGTACAGTCGAAGAGACATATAATCAAAACCTGTTGCTTTTAGTTAAAGAGCTTGTTTAGTGTTACATACATATGCACAGGCATATTTGCAATTGTGTTCTTCTTTTAAAAATCCACACCTGCAATCGATAAAATGAAATTAACGTATATATACATGTTACTAGAGTTGACCAGTAAAACCCGATAAGGATCAGTTAGAAATTTTGCGAATTTTGGCCCCCAGAACATACAAACATCGAGAACATCGAAATTACGAGAACCTTTTTAGACCAAGAGATGACCAAAACTGTATCCTGCGAAGCCAAAGTCCTCATTGAAGCGGATAATATTAAAATATTGTCTCTTGAGATGTGAGGATCTCTGCAGAAAAGGGTATGATCAAATACTGTACCCAAAGAAATGAAAATCCACGTATACAAGGAGAAGAAAAAATATTATTCATTAAAAAAGTGAAGACCACTCTCACAAACAGGGGAGAAGGTTCTCAAATACAGTATCCTAATACATGAGGATTTTTGTAAGAGATAGAATGAGAATAAATATTGAACCATGAATATTGAAGACATCTTCGATGACGAGGAACCCACTTTGAGACTAATAATGGCTGGAGACGGCTTGAATGGGTAATGAAGAAAAACTTTAGTATAAGTTTAACATAACAGCAAATGTACAACGTTTCGACAAGGTTTTGTCATCATCAGGTACCTTGTCGAAACGTTG